CGGCACGGGCCTCCCCCCCGGGGGGCCCTACGGGTGGCGGCAGCGGAAACGGCGGCGGCGGTGGCGGCGGCAGTAGTAGCAAGAAATCCAAAGAGCAGAAGGCGCTGCGCCTCAATATCAACGCCCGCGAGCGCCGGAGGATGCACGACCTGAACGATGCTCTGGACGAGCTGCGCGCGGTCATCCCGTACGCGCACAGCCCCTCGGTGCGGAAGCTCTCCAAGATCGCTACGCTGCTCCTCGCCAAGAACTACATCCTCATGCAGGCTCAGGCCCTGGAGGAGATGCGGCGCCTAGTCGCCTACCTCAACCAAGGCCAGGCCATCTCAGCCGCCTCTCTGCCCAGCTCAGCGGCCGCTGCGGCGGCGGCTGCTGCCCTGCACCCTGCGCTTGGCGCCTACGAACAGGCGGCCGGCTACCCGTTCAGCGCCGGGCTACCCCCGGCTGCCTCCTGCCCCGAGAAGTGCGCCCTATTCAACAGCGTCTCTTCCAGCCTCTGCAAACAGTGCACGGAGAAGCCTTAAACATTCCCTCCCTCGGAAGCCTCGAGACCGACCCCAAAGCTAGAGGAAAGCGAGATGCTGCTCTCCACCCCTTTTATTTTGTTCCTTTCCTAGTTGCGAAACACTGGCAGGGCAAACAAAGCAGAGGCAGGAACTGAGCAGTAACAGAGACAAACCGGACTTTCAGCCTTGGCGCGGCCCCGAATCTTGTGGTCTTTGGGGTGGGGAGGGAGGGGAAAAGGATGTTGAGTAGGGATGGAGTGCGGATGTCTTTTTTCCCTCAGAAAAGTGGCAACTTTGGTGGTAACCTAGACTTCGAGGAAGTACAGTCTTCTTTGAAGGTTAAAAATAAGTTGAAAACTAGTAGTGCTTGTTTATTAGACGTGAAAAGTATTGAACGGCAAAATACTAATCCCACTAATAGCTGAGAATTTGGCTAGTACTGAAGGGGAGAGGAGTCCCGGGTTGAAAGGTGTGAAAGGGACAGGATATTCATTCAGACAAATCAGAAAGGGCACTCGAAAATAACTTCTGATTCTGAGCCAGGAGAAAAACTTGACATGCAGGCTTAACTGGAGGGGAAAGCAAAGAGAGAGAGAGAGAGAAAAAACCACGTTGCTATGAAGGACTTGTATTTTTTATCGTCTCTGAACTTAAAATCCTGTGAAAATGCTCAAAGTTTTGGTGAGAGTGATATAAAAAGCAGGCTGTGGCTGAAAGAATTGCTTTTAAAATATTTATGTGCACCTTGTTACTTTTTACTCTGCAATGATGTATTAACAAAATCATGGTATTTATTTGTTATTCTTCAATGATCCACATCATCAGTATTTATTACTTGTTAAGGTCTTGGGTCTTATGTGAAGATTTTTTTTGATGCTTCTAAAATTCTGTTATATATATTAACTTACACTGTGTGCCAAGTGTTGAAAGGTTTATTTGCCAACAAGTAAGAGGAGAAATATTGATGTATCTGAGCTGCTTAGGTTTTTGAAAGGTCACCTGGATATTTTCAGTTGCATCATCCCTGTATTTGAATTGAGCTTTAATAAATTGCTTCAGTCCAAAAATTACAGGAAAGGTGTATTCTTAATTAATACATGAATTGATTTCTTTTTCAAAAGGGGATCTATTTGCATTCCAAAAGGGAAAAAATCACAGCAATAGATCTTATAAGTAAGAACATGCTGGGCAAATTTATTTTCCAGGTTGTGCTGTGCATTTTAAAAGGTCTAATTTAATTGCTTTTACTATAGATGTACATATATAAGTTATTATAACTGTGAAGACTTATTATGTTAAAAGACGGCTTTGATTTGCTTATGGTGTGAAATCATTTGTTATTTTTCTAAAAAATTATAAAAATTTAAAAGAAATGAAATAAAGCTAAGGAAGAGCAAGAAGCTGTGTACCCAAAGCAAGCTTTCAGTTTAGTTTGCATGGCTATCTGCCTGCCTTTCGTCCTATGAAAATCCAGAAAAACCTCTTAAGAAATGGGGTCTTGCTGTTTTCCACTCCTTACAGATAATACAAATTCAGTTTGTCAGGTTGGATGATGATTTCAGAGCTGTGATGGATCTGTCGGTGGGGTTTGGATGTATAAAGAATTAAATATATATATATATATATTAAATAGGTCAAGCAGACTATGACAGTTATGTACGACCATTTGTATGTGTATCTATGTCAGAAAGAATCTTTATTAAAATATTTTGATCAAACACTTTATTATGCTGTGCTTTGTAGAAGGAGACACCACCTCTCTCCTGCGTTATTCTTGCCTGAAAAGCGACAGAAAAGGAAACGTGTTCCCAAAAGTTTTGTCAGTGCTGGGCAGTTATGAGTCGCCCTAGATCACATGCTGACTAAAAGAACAACAGCTGGGATCCCTTGGAAGTAGAAGTGAGAGGGGGTCAGTGCTGGGACCCAGGACAGGCCCAGAGAGTTCCTGATACTGGCAAGAAGGTACAAAGCCAGACTCTCCCAGAAGTCTGTCCCACAGGTATAGTATCTAGGCCATACTAGGGCCTGTCAAAGGGGGTAAACTTTCTTAAAGGCATTTTAATCAAAAGTTCTGCCTCCAAAGGCTCGGAGACCAGGGAAAAGGATGGATTTGGATTCTCAGAACACCAGCTTTATTGTGGCTTCGTTCTTCCTTCCTGTGGCAAAAGAGTCAACTTGGTTGAATTACCTAAGTGTAAGTAATGTCCATAGAGACTCCCAGAGTTTATCCGGTTGCCTGTTAATGAGATGTTAGTGTTTGAGTTGGATTAGGCATGGAATCTGCTAAGATAGGATACGTTTGCTTGCATTCAGACCTTTGCTCTTTCGTGGGGAAGGTCGAAATTTGTATCACATCGTAGAGATGGTGGTGCTGATTTGGAGGTATGAAGGTACAGACCTTCCACTGAACCTGGTTGCCTAAATGCATTTGTGTGGGGGTTCTGTGCATCCTCAGCCCATAAAGATATCCCTAAATGCCATTAAACTTAGTGGGGGTGGTGGTAAGGAAGGATGCTTTCTATTCCACTTGCTTTCAAAGAAGATTAACCAGAACCTGTAACTTTTTGGACAACACAAGAGCAAAAGGACTTGGAAGTCAAGCCCTCCCAGTCAGGAAGAGGGGGAGGGGTTAGACAGGAGGAAGGGACCAGGGTAGCCCCCAGGCAGGAGAAGACTGTCTCTCAGCATTTACCAGACAAAGCCTGGGTGCGTCTAATTATGATTATTAAAACAATTTCCATGACGATGTCTAATATTATGTTAATTTGAAAACAACTGTGTATGAAAACTGTCGACTATAATACCTAAATTCATTTAATGAAACACATCGTTAAGGCAATTAAACCTCCTGGATGTGATTAAGAAACATAATTACGACACTGTTCTGCACCATAATTGGGTGTCTTTAATCAAGGGGTAAAGTGATCAGCAACACAGCCATTAGTTTGTATTGTTCTGGTCCTGCTGTCCATCATTCTGATTAGGAATTAGCCACAGCCACCATTAGTCAGGGATCTTTTTCCCCTCTTTTGCATATTAACATTGTAGGGGACACATTTGATGCAAGATTTACTGCTTAGTATTTTACACTATTAAGAAGGCCTCCTTAAAATACTTACTCTACCACCTTTGCACTGTGCACGCACTATCAGAAATTGGACAGAATAACAAACCTTGAACATCAGGAAGGAGAAATTCTGATTCTCCCATCACCCAGGCTCTGAGCTTAGTCTGGAAGAGAACTCAAGTGCAAGAGGAAGAGAACAGAGAAGGAGATTGACAGAAAATGTCACGCAGGGGTAACTTGAATGCATCAGAGGCAATGATAGTCATTTTCACTTTAATATTTTTTGACATTCCAACCTTCTTTCCAGACTTTCTTCCAGCAAGTGGTTTTAGGGAACCCAGGATGTCAAAAGAGAAAGCAGAGAAACTGCAGATTTACTTAGGTGTCCCTCTTTGCCTCAACTCCAAGCCCTCCATAGTGTCTCAAGCATCGGCTGGGGGAAATGTTCTACCTCTCAACACCCCCACCGCAGGCCACTCTTCTTCTGAGTCCTATTTTCCACTTGCTCTGGAGAATTAGCCCCTTCACTGCTGCGCCATAGTCTCTGTCCAGGTAGGACACCTGCATCAGAACTGAAGGCTGGGCACCAGGCCTGCAGAGTTCAGTTACCCAGGTGTCCTAAGAGTGTTTGTGTGTGTCAGTCAATAGTGTCTCATCCAGGAGCTCACTGGGGTGTCCACCAGACCTTAGGGGCCTTTGTCAGGAGCATTCCTCCAGCAGGTGCTTAGGGGACCGAGGATGGACACTTGAGACCTGGAGCCCCACTTGCCCTGTAAGTCTCACTTGAATTCTAGCAGGAGTTCACCCCGAGGCCTGACATTCACCTCAACTCTTCTCTTACTGAGATTCCTGTAGATGAACATCTTGGAAAAGTCACCTCTCCTTCCTCCTCCCTGAAGTGGGTAGATGTCTGTGTCTGTGGTGTGCTGAACACAACACAATACACACACACAGCACACACAGAGGCACACGCACCAACAAAAGACATAGGCACACACACACATACATACATACACACACACACACACAC